CAGGAGTTGGAGGTTGCTGTGAGCTGTAATGCCACGGCACTCTGCCCAGGGGGACAGCTTGAGGCTCTGTCTCAAAAAAAAAAAAAAAATTACTTATAAAAATTTTTAAGTGACACAGTCTCACTGTGTTGTCCAGGTTGGACTTGAACTCATGGGCTCGAATGATCTTTCAACCTGAGCCTCTGAGTAGTGAGGCCTATAGGCTTACACTGGGAAGTGACTTTTGTAGCTTTCTCTTGTCCCACTGTTAGCTCTCTACTCTTCCTGACCATGCCCTTCTCCCATCCTGTACTCTTTCAGCTTCAGTCTTGGGGCTAAAATGTATGCTCTCCCAGCTGGCCTCTGCCCGGACCAGTTGTGCCTGTAGACCCCTCATCTTTTGTCCTCCTTTTCCACTCCTTTCCAACCCAAGAACACAATTAGAAGAAAAAACATAAATAGCAAAAGATGACTTCATTATCACTACCACCCTCCCCGTCAAAGACAAAGTGAAGGTATTGGAGGCCGTCTAGAATTAAAGACTGGCGCCTATGAGTGGGTACCTGAAATGACTGAGTACATGAAAACAGGCTAGTCGGCTCAGCAGTTAGGGCACCAGCCACATCCACCGGGACTAGTGGGTTTGAACCTGGCTGAACCTGCTAAACAAACAAACAAACAACAACAAAATAGCCAGGCGTTGTGGTGGGCATCTGTAGTCCCAGCTACTCTAGAGGCTGAGGCAAGAGAATTGCTTAAGCCCAAGAATTTGAGGTTGCTGTGAGCTGTGACAGGACAGCACTCTACTGAGAGTGACATAGTGAGACTCTGTCTCAAATAAATAAATAAATAAAATAAAATAAAACAGGCTAGCCTGTCTCTGGGCCCCTTCTTTGGAATTCTGAGGCAGCTTACTTGGGAGCAGCTATCCTGGGTCTGGTTTTTTGGCATGAACATGCCCTCTGCTGGTAAAGTGGGAGCACTGGTACTTTCCCTTTCAGAAATCTTTAATTCTAGATGGCCTCCAATGCCTTCCTGTCTTTATCAGTCTTAGTCCATGATGGCCCACCTGTCTCTCCTCCTACCCTCTCCCATCCCTCCTTCACCTTTAGCCATTGCTTTCCCCTCACTTAATTCCCAGAGACTATTAACATAGCTGTTGCTTCCTCCAGGAAGCTAGGAAATATTGACTGCAAAGGGCCCTTCCAACCTCTCTCAGTTCTGTAAACTGAGGCCTTGCCTGGAAAGTATGGAACAGGAGAAGGAAAGGCAGGAACTCAGATGGAGACTGTGGGGAGAGGGAACCAAGCATAGTGGTAGAGGTGTCTAAATTGGAACAGGACAGAATTGTAGGGAAAAGCCAAAGATCTGGGGATGGAGAACAAGAGATTGAAAATGGGAAGGTGAGGGTGGCGCCTGTGGCTCAAGAGGTAGGGCCCCAGCCCCATATACCGGGGGGTGCCAGGTTCAAGCCTGGCCCCGGGATAAAAAAAAAACTGCAAAAAAAAAAATAATAATTAAAATATAAAATAAAAAAAAATTAAATAAAAAAAAATTAAAAAAAAAAAAAAAGAAAATGGGAAGGTGGCACTCTACCCAGGGGGACAGCTTGAGGCTCCTGTCTCAAAAAAAAAAAAAAAATGGGAAGGCAGGGCTCGGTGCCTGTGGCTCAAGTGGCTAAGGTGCCAGCCATGTACACCCAAGGTGGCGGGTTCGAATCCAGCCCGGGCCCGCCAAATAACAATGACGACTGCAACCAAAAAATAGCCGGGGGTTGTGGCGGGGGCCTGTGGTCTCAGCTACTTGGGAGGCTGAGGCAGGAGACTCGCTTGAGCCCAGGAGTTGGAGGTTGCTGTGAGCTGTGATGCCAGAGCACTCTACCCAGGGGGATAGCTTGAGGCTCTGTCTCAAAAAAAAAAGAAAAAAGAAAATGGGAAGGCAAGAATAGAAACAGAGGTCAGGAACTAGATCAGGGGAATGGGTTAGAGAAGACCAAGGAGAGATCAGGATTTGGCTATGAACTAGAAGAAATGACAGCAACAGAAGGCATGGGGCATAAGTTTATTCTTGTGCACAAACCAAAGTACTGTGACTCACGCTCAATATGCAAAGGAAATTATCACTTTCCAGTTTAAACAGCAAATGTGGCTGGTGGTGGTCTTGGTGAGCGGGGGAGTCTATATCCCTCTAGAATCAGAGATCAGGACCTGAAGCTGCAAAGGAACAAGAGCTAGAGTTTTGAGGGATAGGGTAGGACAAAAAAGAGATTTTGGCTCGGGCTGCTTCCCTACTCCTCCCCAGGTAGTCTGACAAGCTGCAGAAAGACAAACTGAAGGATAGACCCAAAGAAAGTTGCACAGACACCAACAGTTCTTTTGTCACTCAGCACAAACCCTTCCTCCCTCCCACCATCATCCTCCTTTACCCCTTTACTTAAACAAGTTCATTTTTCTCCCTAAAATTTTTTCCTGAGCCCACCAGTTTTTTTCCTGGCTGGTTTCTTGTTATCCAACTTTACTTTCTGCCAACACTGCACTCTCCCTCACCATGCCTGTCTCTGTGGCTTAATTGTTCTCATTCATTTCTGCTCTACTTCTAGTTTCTGCTTCACTCTCCATACCATGGCTGGCTTTTCCCTCTTTTCTGTCTTAGGCTTATGAGGCAATGAAGCCAGTGATTTGTTCATTCTCAGAGGAAATTTTCTTTCTCTTTTTCACTTTCTGGATACTGGGATTGCTTGACATGCAAGTGCTCCTGAAAGTTGCTCACTTTCTGAAATCTTGATGACTGGAAGAATTCTTAGTTATATTCTTTGTCTAACTGGTATAACTCAGCCCCCCATGTAAACTGCCCTGGCTGTTCAATCTTCTCATACTCAAGTAGCTTTACAAGGTGCTGTACACCTGC